AATCAAAAATTCATCCAATAAATTCTTCACTTACTGATATTTCCTTTTTCTAGCATTTTTCAGGTAGCCCCCCGAAGGGGCTTTTTCAAGAGGCAACTGGACTTTCTGGTTTTTCTTTGAAGACATTTCGCTTCTCATCCAAGAAGCTTCTTCAGCTCTGACTGGAAGGTAGGAAGGAATGGAAGGATTTATCCTCCTTGCAGACAGCTGGTCATTTGCATTCCTTTTGGCGGGTCATTGAAGCATTTGGAGATTTATCTGTGTCCTCAGGGTTACCTGAACGATACTCTTGATTCCTGTAGTCTGCAATTTTTGCTCTGGAAATCCATTCCTACTCCCACCCACCCCATTCAAAGGGTGTTCATCCCAAATTGTATAGCTAAACGTCTGTAGAGATTCTCAGTCTTCCAGGTCATTGGTTGTCCCAAAAATATTTTTTTCAGGAGGCAGCTGGACTTGTTTTTTCTTTTGAAGACGTTTTGCTTCTCATCCAAGAAGCTTCTTCAGCTCTGGCTGGATAGTGGGAATGGAAGGATTTTTTTTAAAGTTTAGTTTACTTTATTGTTATTGCACCTCATACAACGAAATTAAATACCATCTTCAGTGGACATTTATACACCTTGCAGACAGCTGGTCATTTGCATTCTTGTAGACAGTCATTGAGGGTCACCTGTGTAGTGCAAATGGAACCGTTGAAAGGACTGTGTTGTCGAGTGGAAAGAGATGATGTTGAAGGTGGATAGATGGATGAGAAGCGAAATGTCTTCAAAGAAAAACCAGAAAGTCCAGTTGCCTCTTGAAAAAGCATCTTTGGGTCAACCATGACCTGGATGACTGAGAATCTCCATAGACATACAGGTAGCTCTCAACTTAGAACCACAAATGGAACTGGAATTGTAGTTGTTGAGCAAAACAATCAAAGACAGACACATGACTGCTTCTCTCAACAAATCCTGGAACCCCAAGCAATGATTGTTAATAGTGTAATAGCAATAGCACTTAGACTTATATACCTCTTTATAGTGCTTTACAGCCCTCTCTAAGCGGTTTACAGAGTCAGCCTCTTGTTCCCAACAATTTGGGTCCTCATTTCACCCACCTCAGAAGGGATGGAAGGCTGAGTCAACCTTGAGCCTGGTGAGATTCGAACTGGCAAATTGTAGGCAGCTGGCTGCATAAGTAGCTTGCAATACTGCACTCTAACCACTGCACCACCGAGGCTCCTTTAAGTGAGCTTACATGTCATTAAGTGGACAGAGTCCCAGGTAAGGAGCGTGGAGCGACTCAGGAATGTAGGGAAGACCGTTGTAAATCTGGACCATTATTACATAAACTGCCTTTAAGCCAAGGACTACCTGAACACTGACAAGATTTTAAATAAATCTTTGGGCCATAAATGTACTCTCTTTTTAGCTTTAGGCCATAATCAAATATTCACTCGCTCCTTTAAAAAGGGAATTAGACAAAGGTTGAGCCAAAGAATGGGTTTACAGTAGTTGGAGTGGAATTCTCTAGAGATCATATTGACAGTATAAAAAGGTGTAAATGATATTCCCTAACACTAAAATATGCTTACGAGGCCCCGGTGCACGGTAGACTTTTATAACCTGCCATGAAATGCATGACTGCCTTAATAAGCAAGGCATTTAGAAAAGGATAACTATGTTGCACAACTTGAACATCTCGCCCGTTTGCCTTTAAGCCAAATTTATTTATTTCATTTTTTTTATTGAGTTAGGGATTAGCCTTGTACGCCGCCTGATTTGCCTACGGTTAGGGTTAGGGTTAGGGCTAGAGGCGACCCTCCTGGGTTAATAATATTTTAGATGTTGTTCCCTTTGTTCAATATTTGGAGTCACAGAGGGAAAATAGAACCAAAGTGGGAAGTGAGCACTTTTAATCTTCAGGACTGTCTCTCTCTCTCAGCACCTCAATGTACTCCGTTGATGAGAGCAAGACTAAGATTCAGTCTTGGAAAAAGTTATGCCTAAATATACAAAGGTATTATTAATCTGTTCAATTGGTTCACCGTCAGGGTTCGGCTTCAAAATTTTTAGCAAAGGGTTCTCTACCCGGTTGCTGCGTGGGCGTGGCCCTAGTGGGTGTGGCCTAGTCGGTCTCCTGCACCACAGGCTCCGGAGGCTTTCCTCGAGCCTCCGGGAGGGTAAAAACAGCCTTTCCCAGGCTCCGGAGGCTCTCTGGAAGCCGGAAACGGGCCCATTTCTGGCCTTGCTGAACTTCCAGGAGGCCCGTTCTTCGCCCTCCCCAACCCTCCGCGTGCCCCCTGCACTTACCTACATCCAAAACAGGCCACATGGGAGGGGCGGGGCAGGGTGGGCGGGGCCAGCCAGGAATAGGATTTGGGGGCTCTCTGAATTGCACAGAATCTTAGCTAGCGGTTCTCCCGAACTCCCAGCAGCCCCACCCCTGTTTCACCATCTCATGGCCATCTATGTCTCCGATGATGTTTTCTAAACACTATGATTTTTTTATTTAGATTTACTAATGGTCCATCAATATAAGGAAAGCATCCCTAATTCTGCCTTTGCAATAGTGTGCTCTATTGGTAGCCCTTGACTTATGATCCGGCTCTTAGCAGTTGTTCCAAGTTACCTGGGACAATGGAGTTACAATCACTTCTGAAGTTCTGATTACAGAATAACAAGAGTTGGAAGGGACCTTGGAGGTCTTCTAGTCCAACCCCCTTGCTTAGGCAGGAAACCCTATACTATTTCAGACAAATGGTTGTCCAATCTCTTCCTTAAACACTTAAAAACTTCCAGTGTTGGAGCATTTACAACTTCTGGAGGCAAGTTGTTCCACTGATTGATTCTTCTAACTCTGTCAGGAAATTTCTCCTTAGTTCTAGGTCAGTGGCTCCCAACCTTTGGGGCACCAAGGGCCGGTTCCACGCAGAAAGATTTCTCCATGGACCAGAAGGAGCATGGTTTTGCATGCTGATGTGGCTTTGCTTTTTTGCACGGACCGGTTGCTCGCATGCCATGGACTAGGAGTTGGGGACCCCTGTTCTAGATTGCTTCTTTCCTTGAAGATCTAGTTTGCTTCTCCCTGATCCCTTCCCCCCACATTCTCACATTTCTCAGGCACTTGCCTTATAAAAGGGCATAACCTAAAAGAAAAGATGAAAAATGTGCAGGCGTGTTCTTTCCCTTCCTTTGCGCCTATCGCTGCGCCAACGTTAACTAAGGTATCCACATGCAGAAGAAGAAATCTCCCTGCGATCGTAAAATGATGGTTATTTTCTGTTCAGCAGTTCACGTTACTGCGGGTTCATGCTAATTAATTAAAGGAGCTGTTGCCTTAATGTGCAAACAGGGAATCTGAGAAACCGAGAGGCCTTTTAGGTCTCCGACTGAAGTGAAGTCAATCTGGGCGCAAGCGATCAAATCTAATGAAATCACATGTCAGTGCTAAGCTTGCAAAAACTGTGAAGTCTGACTGGGGAGTAAAAGGATTATAATTAGATTTCCAATAGGATAATAACTAAATGGCAGAAAGCAGTAAAGAGAAAATATTACTTTGTTCGCTTAATGGCGCTGCTGTTTTGGCTTCCCCGTTTTTATCAGTGCGGCTCATAGTTACGCTAATTTAATTTGCTTTTATCAGCACAAAAAACAAAAAAACAAAAAGGCAGCCCTCAAACGGTCCTTGAATGTCATTTGCAAAAATCATTGATCTGAAGGTGCTCTTAATGACACCCAGTATGTTTATTTTATGGGAAACGGAGAGTGGTTGATGAAAAGAAACTGATGCTGCTGTTCCCATGTTTGGCTATAAGTGAATTATGGACACTGGAATATCCTGAAGGTTTAAATCGAAATCTTTCCTTCGGATTAGCAGTCCGACGGGCAACTAGATATCCAAATGATGACTAAATTGCTGTCATAATTTGGAGGAGAGGTCATAAGTAGCTTTTTCTGGGAGCCCGTTGTAACTATGAATGGGTATTAAACAACCAGTTATAAGTCAAGGAGTTCCTGTGCAGAAACACTGCAAGATCGTACTCAATTCAATTCAATCTTTTATTCAGGTCTCAGACTAGAATAAATATTAAAACATTAAAATAAAACGGAACAAAACAAGACATAATGGTAGATTGCAATTAATGGTGGAATCATTGATAAGTGAGAAAGGTCTACCTAATTTTACAGGCAATGTAACAGAACTGAGCTATGTTTAGAGAAACGTTAGCCTACTGATTTGATAGGAACGATGATATGTAGAAGAGATCAAGATTTCCTTGATATTTTGTCAGGTAAGATGTTATCTTTTGTCAGAGGGCAGGACAAGAAACAATGGATGGAAACCAACCAAGGACAGAAGCAACCTGGAATTAAGGAGAAACTTCCTAACGGTCAGGACAATTAACCAGTGGAACAGAAGTTGCCTTCAGAAGTTGTGGATGCTCCAACACTGGAGGATTTTAAGAAGAGACTGGACAGCCACTTGTCTGAACTGGTCTAGGGGGTGTCCTTCTTAAGCAGGGAGTTGGACTCGAAGACCTCCCTTCCAGCTTTATTCTGATTGAAGGAGTTATGAGTCCATGAGTCCTTCCTTAGAAAGGGTGCAATATAACAGAACATCAGTTGTGGTCTTAAGGGCCGCTTGTCCACCGGGACAAACTCAGCTCCTATGGAACATTTTTGGATCAGCTGCTGTGAGGAGGCCGTTACAACATCCTAGAGTTAGATCCTTTAAAATTTAGAGGGAGTTTTATTTATTTATTTATTTATTTATTTATTTTTTATTTATTTATTTGATTTGCCAATTGTTTACAAGATAATAAGTATAAGTGTATACATAGTTGTGAATACATGAAATGGGTACATATAAGAAAAATAAAAGAAGAATAAGAGAAACAATAGGACAGGTTATATGATATAAATATCTCAGTGGTTTATAGAAGGGGGTATGCCTGCTCAAGAAAACATTCTTGGCTAGAGCAGATGGGACTGATGGACTTCCTGATCTTTAAATACCTTGTTGAAATGTGCTAAGTTCACATTCATAGCCCATTGGTGGGAATTCTTGTTTGGACACACCAAGAGGTTGGCGTTATAGTGATTAAGTTCTAACCCATGTTGATTTTTAATTGTGCTCCGGGGCTTATCGTGCTGTAGCAATACTGGCACAATGTGCCATGGACATCCCTCCAATACAGTATATATGCAAGACCACATACCTTGCATTGCCGCGTTCTCATGTTGAGTCCCGTTGTGGTCAACTTCCATGTCTGGAATCCCAGCATCTGCCAAGCATAACATGCATATCACTGTCAACCATGCAATGCAGAGAATGAAATCATAATGGAAGATTTGTTAATAGCAATAGCACTCAGACTTATACACCACTTCACAGTGCTTTCACAGCCCTCTCCAAGCGGTTTACAGAGTCAGCCTATTGCCCCCAACAATCTGGGTCCTCATTTTACCGACCTTGGAATGATGGAAGACTCAGTCAACCTTGAGCCTGGTGAGATTCAAACTGCCAAATTGCAGGCAGCCAGCAGAAGTAGCCTGCAATACTGCACTCTAACCACTGCGCCACTGAGGCTCATAAACTTGTGTCCGTATTTTTTTAACCTTGTATCCCCATTTTTTTTTACAGAAAGCTCAAAGCACCATGGATGCTTTGACTCTTACTTAGCTGTCTGCCCCTCCCCACAACAGCTGACTAAATGAGATCCAGAAGATCCTTTTACCATTCAGCATCCTGAGACCGTCCCCTGATGTAGCCTGCTTCAGTGCTTGTTCTACTTGCTCCCTCCGCTTCGATTCAAACTCCAGAGCTTCCTGCAATTTCCTCTTCGCTTTCTTCTCCTTTTTCAAGCGCTTTTGAATTGTGGCTGAAAGAGCAACAGAGACATTAGGAACAGGGATTTCCCCAAAATTTGACAACAGAAGGACACCTCCGCTGACAATTTGGTTTGGCATCTGATGCGCAAGAGGACTTTTGTCAGTGATTGTGCTGCTATATGCAGTGTTGTGGTTCGCCGGCAGCTGGTGCAGACGGCAGAGGAATCGGACAGTGGGGAAGAACGGAGACTAGTACAGGAGTCTGGGGAGGACTCGGATGAGGGTCCTGCATCCGATGTAGAGATGGGGCCAGGACCATCTGGGAGTTGTGTGCTGCCTCCGGCGCCTCCAGAGTCTAGCAGCAGCGAGGCAGAGGAACCACGGGAGCCTGTTCCCAGTGCGCGTGTGGGCAGAGTTGCTAGAAGGCGAGAGCAGCTGAGACAAAAGGGGTAACTCGGGAGTAAGGCTGGGAGGTGATTGCCCCTCCCATCAGGGATAAAGGTCAGGCCAAGATGAGGAAACCTTTGCAGGAAGCAAAGTCGTTCGTTCAGTTCAGATTCATTCTTGAAGCTCTTTGTAATTTGGTTGGGTTTTTTTTTCTAGTTCATTTGACACTTCTGTTATTGGCAGCACTTCACAGAAAAGAAAGGTGGGTGCTTATCTCGAGGAACTATTTGAGATTCATTACTGGCTGGGTATGAAAACAATTCCCAGCGTTGCAATAAAATAAGACTTGTTTTTAAAATAAGTGTGTGCGTAATTACGGTTTAGGAAGCCTTGGTCAGAACATGCAAATAGTCCTTGTCTTAGGACCACAATGAGGAGGAGACCCAAATTTCTATTCCTAAGCGAGATAGTTGTTACGACCTTTCTTGCCACCTTTGTTGAGTGCTCATTTGCATCCTTTTTAGAGAGTCATTGAGGCAACCCTGAGGACACAGAAAAAACTCCAAGTGGCCTCAACGACTCTCTAAAAAGAATGCGAATAACTCGCTGTCTGCAAGGAATATAAATCCTTCCATTCCCCACCGTCCAGTCAGAGCTGAAGAAGCTTCTTGGATGAGAAGCAAAACGTTTTCAGAGAAAAAACAAGGAAGCCCAACTGCCGCTTGAAAAAAGCACCTTTGGGACTGCAAGACATGGCTTCCTTCTCTCTCAGATTACCTCTGCTTTGCAGCTCAGCTGTAAGCTGCCTTTCCAGGTTCTCTCTCAATTCTCTTTCCCTACACAGCTCCATCTTTAGTTCCTTCTTCTCCTGCTGGATTTGCTTTTCCTGCACCCGGGCGTTATCTACGGCGACTTTCAGCAAACCCTAAAAAAAAAAAAA